CTCCCTCTCTGTCTCTCTCTCCCCCCCCCCTCTCTCTCCCCCTCTCTCCCTATCTCCTTCCCACCCTCTCTAAAAAATAATGGAAAAAATATCCTCGGGTTAGAATTAACAAAATAAAACAAAACAGAACCTGCAATATCTGAATCAGGGTAGATAACACAGGGCGGAGTCTAGGAGGCTTCCTGCTGCACTTGCTCTTGGAATTAGCAAGGGTGCCGCTCACCCTGGTGTCTTCACTCAGGTCCACAGCTGGAATCACAGGAACAGCTGTTTAACTGAGCTGTTCTTCACTTACAGACAATTCTGGATAATCTAAGATGATGTTTCCTTTCCTCCTCTGCTAGCAGAAACCCGAGACAAATGTTTTTACTACGTAGTTTGCCAGAATCAGAAAATGAATGCGTCTGCTCACTGCCTTTACCCTGGGTCTATATATTTTCTCTTCATTTTCCAGCCACCTGAAATTAATGACTAAAAAGTTCTACCTATTTTGGTACCTAGGATCTTTAAGTCCATTCATTCATACAGATATTTTAAATGCTCACCTGAGGATGTTTTTATTGATTTTAGAGAGAGACGAAGGAGGCGGGGGGAGAGAGAAACATCGGTGTGGGAGAGAAACATTGATCCGTTGCCTCCTGTACTGGGCCTGACCAGATTGAACCTGAAACCTTTTGGTGCACGGGAGGACGCTCCAACAGACTGAGCCACTGACAGGACAAGTTTATATATTTTTAAGGGAGAAGCATTCATAGGCCAATTAAGTTTTTAAAAATTCATGTTTACAAAAACTTTCAGGATAACACATGGTGAGTACCCCCGAACCTTGAGTGTAAATGCAGACTGTCTCATCTATCAAGCTACCTGTTTTCATTTAATCACTCAGTGGCTTCTCTATGTGCTTCTACTTTTGAATAACTTGCCATAAACAGAAATCACAGGGGAGAACACAGGCTCTGGGACCAAGAGACCCGACTCCAGCCCAGCACACAATAGCCATCTAAGCAAGTCCTAAAATGTTCTGAAAGAGTTAATGTATAAAGATAATAATAAAAAAAAGAATTCAGGGGATTTACAGCTGATTCCACTGAAAAACAGGATCAGAGAAATCTTCCTTCTATAACATAACACTTACTCTTGAAAAATATAAGACTCTCTGACAGCACATTTTCCTACTAGTTTACATGCCAAGAAATAAATATTTGTAGACTATAGTTACAGGAACCATTTGTTACTGACAGGTCCATAAAGTCACTTAGGTTCTTTTGAAATAAATTTCGTATTATGAATTACATCGTATTTTTATAAAGTCTAAAAATTTAGCTATCACATAGTACCTGCTTAGTGAAATGTGCTGTGACTGCTAAATTAATATACTTTTGGTGTATTTCCCTAAGTAATCTAGAAAATTCAAAATTATTATCAAAAAGCTCAGGCCTTGTAATCTGAATTGCTACCGTGGAGCTGAGGACAGGAAAGACTGCAACAAGGGAGAGCGGGCACAGGCAGTGTCCCAGAGTCTCCACGCACACGCACCCATTCACAAGCTTACCAGTGTCACCGGTGGGCTCGGCTGTGCGCGGTCTGGGAGCTGGTGTGTTTCCTGGTCTGGCAGCAGCCGGAGCTGGAGCTGGAGCCGGAGCTGGAGAGGAAGGTGCGCTGCCTCCGTTCGCCACACGGGAATAGCAGTTCTGCACCACAGTGTGGGTGGGCGCTCGGCTGTCTGCTCCACCTGCACCTTCAGCAGCCAACCTTTAGAAGCAAGATGCCTGACTTCAATGAGCTCAGTACAATTCAACAACTTCTCCTCAAAATGTTCATAAGAAACAGCTACCGAGTTCTTCACATTCAAAGAAAATGACAGAGAGAGCAATGAACAAATACAAGGCATGCTTTCTTACGTAAAGATTTAAATTATTTTTGGTTCTAAGCATATCCCATACTACCAGACAAATCTATACTGAAAAATACAACTATACTAAATCAAAATAAGTTCTGTCCCTCAAAATATTGTTCAAATTGTACATTTTAAATACTTAAGCCTAAGAATACAAATCTTTATTTTAAACTAGTGGCCCGGTGCACGAATTCGTGCACATGGAAAGGAAATTAATTAGAAGAAATATTTTAATATCACTATTTGCCCTTTCTCTATAATAGAAGTGTCAACCAAATTCATGATCGACAATGACAGATGGAAACACATGCGTGCTATTGGCGCCAACGAGAG